GATGAAGGCAGAAGAATCAGGAGTTTAAGACCAGGCTGAGCTACATGAGACCAGTCTCAAAACAGATTCCAACTTATTAGTAAGGTAACCTGTCCTAAAGCCAGAGGGAAAGCTGGCTACTGAAATTCAAAAACAGTACATCACTTTCCAATCAATTTTCAAGCTGGCACTTTTTTGGGGGGAGAGGGGGTCAGTTCTGGGAATTGAACTCAGGATTTTGTACACCCAAGGAAAGTGGCCATTTCCAGCTCCAAGACAGTTTTCAAGTATTTCCCCCCTGGGTAATTTTCCCCTACAGACGCCTTCCTTCAGTGTGAACTTGAGGTCCAAAAAGCAGGACATAAGACATAATTTGATTCTAACTCAAATACAGATTAACCAGAAAGAACTAGGAGCTAAATGCAGTGGCAAAGACTTGTACTCTCATCTACGAGAGAGGCTAAGGCTAGAGACTAAAGTTCAGGCTTGCCTGACTACAGAGTGCAAGACCATCCTAGCCACTGTAAGAAGACTTTTTTCCTTAAAAAAATAATAATAATAATTAAGGGCTTAGATCATAGCTCAGTGGTAGAATGTTTGCTTAACATGCAGAAAGCCCTATGCTCAATCCCCAGTACTGTGGAGGAAAAGATTAACATTCAAAACACTTGTCTTTTGTAGCAAAATAAAAAGTATTTTTCATATTTCACAAATGAGAAAAAAACAAAGAATCAAAATACTGTTAAAAAACTCAGACACACATGTGAAAAACATTCAAAGTCTCATTTTAAAACCAACTAAAAAATAGTTTAAATAACCCTAGAGGGGCTGGAGAGATGGCTCAGCGGTTAAGAGCATTGCCTGCTCTTCCAAAGGTCCTGAGTTCAATTCCCAGCAACCACATGGTGGCTCACAACCATCTGAAATGAGGTCTGGTGCCCTCTTCTGGCCTTCAGGCATACACGCAGAAAGAATACTGTATACATAATAAATATTTAAAAAAAAAATAACCCTAGAATACTTGGTATTTCTACCTGAATTCTGAACTTCTCTCTCAAAGTAAGAGAATTCAAGTAGGATTTCCTTGCTTCTTATGTATTATTATCTGGATAAGTTTAGGTGGCTAATCAGAACGTGGCTTTGATTATTACATAGTTAGTTACTCTCTGTATATAGGTCAGTTAGTTTCAAAGTTACAAAAAACTCCTGTAGTCACCTCATACCTCAAGATTTAGCTAGATCAGATACAGCATACATTAGTTCCCTTAAACTGGGCAGTACAAGACCTCCCAGTGCACACATGGAATCAGACTTTGTATGTTTTCTCCTATACAAACATGTCTATTAATTTACAAATTAAGCACAGTAAGATTATCAATAATAACAGAGCAACATAACATACTGTAATGAAAGCTATGTGAATGCTATCTTTCCAAATTTTTTTCCCTCTTAAAATATCTTTAACTTAAGGAAGCAATTTCTAGTTTTTCGTTGGATAATCTGAATTGCTAGCTAAATAGGGATCCTTACAACTAAAATATCACAACAGTCTATTTATTGATTACAATTTGGCTAATAAGCAACTGTTAGGCACAAACAGCAAGTATACTGGACCAACAGCTGACTCATGGCTAGGCCAGAACAATGGGACAGTACAAAATTTCATCATTATTCAAAATAATACAAAACTTAAATGTCTAAATCAGTGGCTCTAAACCTTCCTAATGCTGTGACTTTTTACCAGTTCCTCATGTTATGGTAACCCCGACCATAAAATTATTTTTGTTGCTACTTCATTACTGTGACTGTTAGTTATAGATCGCAGTATTATTTTTGGAGATAGGTTTGCCAAAAGGGTTGCAACCCACATGTTGAGAATCACTAGTGTAGAAGGTTTCTTTCTGGAATTTTCCATCTAATATTTTCAAACCACAGGTGAACGATGTTAACTAAAACTACAGAAGGTTAAACTATTGGTGGATGCTGTGTAGAAAGAATACTAATACTAAATAGAATACCTTTCATCACTAGAATTCTAGGTAGGGTACATCAAGTGTATCAACAGATGTTAGAAACTAAATTAACCACTTCTAGTGTACCTCAACAAAAGTGTTCTTGAAAAAAAAGTAACAGGTCTATAATCCCAGGTACTTAGAAATTCTGGACAGGAGAAGTTCAAGTGAAGGCTATCCAGGGATACACCACTAGTTCAAAGCCAATCTGGGCAAGTAAGTTGAAACCTTACAGCCAAAGGGGCTAGAGATATAGCTCTGAATAGTGTTTGCCTACCATCTGTGAAGCCCTGAATTCAAATTCAAGTACAACAAAACAGAATCCATTGTACATAAGACCATAGAGCCTGGAAGTGGAGTTGCATGCCATTAATCCCAGCACTCAAGAGGGAGAGGCAGGTCTATAACTGAGTTCGAGCAACCTGGTCTACAGAGCTAGTTAGTTCCAGGACAGCCAGGGCTTCAGAGAAATCCTGTCTTGAAAATAAATAAATAAATAAATAAATAAATAAATAAAATAAAAACATCAAGAATACTTTGAAATTCTCTTGTCTTCCAATATTTTGGTTGCCTTTCAGATTTTATTTCACTATCACCCAAAACTGAGGAAAAACACAGATGAAGACAAATTCCCCAGTGTGCTCTCCTGCCATGCTTTGACCACTGGCTGGGTTCCATGAGTGCAGTAATGCGATCCCAGCACCTTGCTAAGATAATTATTTATTTCAGGAATGAAGCATGTTCTTCAGTAGTTTCAAAGCCACCATGATATAAAAACACAATGCACAAAATGGGAAGAAAGGAACTCTGAGTGTCAGGAGAGCTAAGTGCTCCCTTCTTTACATAGGCTGTTAACCCTCAAGTCTCTGAAATGTTACCACTCTTTGTAAACTGGACTCAAAAGAGGAAAGGAGAAAAATGAGCAGTTAAGCAATCCACAGTTTAGGGACTCTGAAGACAGTCACAATCTAAGTTTAACACTACTTTCTGCAACACAGAAGTTATTTCTAGGTTTATCAAAGCGTATGACAAAACTTCAGTTTCCTCATCTAGAAAATGAAGTTCAATAATTACCAAGTATTTATTTTAGAGCCTAGCATACTGTTGGCATTGGCAAAGTTTAAAAAAAAAAAAAATCAGGGGGCTGGAGAGATGGGTCAGTGGTTGGAAGCACTGCCTGCCCTTCCAAAAGGTCCTGAGTTCGGTTCCCATGGTGGCTCACAACCATCCATAATGAAATCTGGTGCCCTCTTCTGACCTGCAGGCATACATGCAAACAGAATACCGAGAATACTGTATACATAATAAATAAATAGATTTTAAAAAAAATCAGTAATCAGTCTGGTCTGATTCCCAAATTTCATGCAAATTATTACAATTTTCTATAGTTATCAGTTTTATGTAGATCAGGCTAGCCCTAAACAGTCTGTGGCTGAGGATTACAAGCATTTGACATTACACCCAGGATTTTACCCAGCGCCTCATGGAGAATAGTTAGTTTACCAAACGAACTATATCCAGAACCAAACACATCCACTGAAGAATCAATATATGAAAAATATACGTTTTGGGCTGCTGAGCTGACTCAGCAGTTAAGAGAGCCTACTGCTCTTGCAAGGACCAGGGATCAATTCTCAGCACCCACGTGGCAGTTCACAACTATCTGTATCTCCAGTTCTAGGGAATCCAATACCCTCACACAGACATACAAGCAGGCAAAACACCAAGGTACATAAAATAAATAATTAAAAAAATTTGGAAAGCTGGCATTACCTAATGAACTCTTTTAATGCTAAAATCAGATAACAGAACCAAGTACCACAGACATTGAGTTTTGTTCTAATAACTATGAAACTAGTCTCATGCCAATATAGAAACTTAATTTCAAGCTAGTTCTGAATTAAAACTTCAATTTGTTACTGGTTGACTGGACAAAAAAAAAAAAATCAATCATTCTACAACACCAATTTGAAGCTTATCAACTTTGTTTTCAAAATATACTGTTATTCAATGTTTTCATATAATTACAACTGTACTACATAAATGAAGCAATTAATATAATACTTTCCATGCCCAATCCCTTTACCAAATACAAGCGCTGATGTTCTGACAAAGTTTAGAATCTCAACTACTTCATCTTCAACTTAATCTAATGATGAATGATGGGAGGAAGGGGAGAACAGATGTTAATACCAAAGAAGCAAACTTTACCCTGTAGGCTAAACGTTAAGGAAAGATCATGGAGGCCAACCTGGGTGTATATAGCCAAACCTTACTTTAAAAAAAATTTTTTTCTTTATTTTCTACAAAAATCATTATTAGATTTATTATTTCAAAAAACTTTCAAAAACTGATGAACTTTTGAAGTTATTGTTAAACCCAGATGGGCTGTCCACACAATCTATTTTGGCAACAACAGCCTATTCAGCAAAGTAATAATCCTCAAAAAGAATGCTACGCATAGTCCAGAAAGATAAAATTAATATGGTATTTTAGCAAAGATGTTCTAATCAAAGGTACACTTTTAATGATGTACTGGCCCTTCAAAAATAAAGTCACACTGGAATTAGAGCTCAGCAGTAAAACAGTGATAACTGCTCTTACAGAGAACCGAGTGTGGGCAGGAGGCTCACACCACCTGTAACTCCAGTTCCAAAGGGTCTGACCTCCAAGGGCATCCACATGTTAAATACATACTAATAGACATACAGAAATAAAAATACTTTAAAATAATAAGAAACTTTCATGCTAGCCACAAACCCCTAGAATGTTCATCTTGAAAAGTCCCCACATTTCTTGGATTTAAAAAAATATATATCGTAACTTCCTGTCCTGTAGATCAAATATCACCATTAACATACTCAAATATGTTCCATTCAGTCCAGAATCGTATAAGTTTCTAGGTTTATGGTTCCATTCCCATTTACTTTGCACTAATATAAACCACTAAATATAGTTCTAAATCTCAAACATTAATGATTAGTAGCTAATTATATAAGTGACTCATACCTCTTATGTCCAGACACCCAAGATCCTAGGACGCTTCTGTCAGTCCTAAGGGAAAAGGAAACAATAAACACCTGTCACAAAAGCTTTCCAAATTGGGAAGCCCCGAACAGTTACTGTCAATCCCCAGTACTATTCCTTCCCTCCCTCCCTCCCAACTCCGCACCCCCCACCATAAAAGATACTGTTCAGCCCACTGCCTGTCTGTGTGAAGGGCAGACCACAAACTCCTAGCGGAAAGGGCTCCGAATCTTTCTAGCCCTCACGGTATGGCCTGGCTCTTTACAATCTCGAGCGCTGACACCTCATTACGTCCGAAGTCACTTTTCCTTTCTGGGCATCGGTTAGCTATAAAGTGTGCTGATACCCATAGGAATCTACTACTACTCCGTGGCCGGGGCCCAACTTGGACTCGTCGGCACCAGCACGAACCCGTCAGGGGCCCTGCCCACCCTCTTCATCGGGACACATCACCTTCTAGACTTTCTCGAGCGGCTGACCCGTCAGCCCGGGCCGCACGCAGCGGATGCAACTCCAGGCCCCCACAGCCAGCCAGCCACACGTGGTCCCAGACAGTGCCGGGTCCCGTCGCCCTCTCCCCGTCACACACACCTTCCCTGAGAGGTGATGTCCAAGTCGGGCCGTGGAAGCAGCCACCTGGTACCCGCCATCCGGGGCGACACAGCTCGCCTTCTCCAGCCTCCCCCATCACCTTGGCCGCCCGTCCCACACCCCGCTCGCCCAACCACTCACCAGCCGCGCCGCCGTGCTGACTCCTCGGCGGCCTCCCGGCCCGGGCAGCCAAAAGGCCGCAGGGGGCCGGGCGGCCGCTTTCCCCGCCGCCGCCGCCGCCGCCGCCTGTCCTCAGCCCAGCCCCATCGCCCTCGGCCAGCGCCGGCGGCCGCGGGTCGCTCGGGCTCGAGGCGCCACCGCCGAGCGTCGCGGCTCGGACTGTGGGGACGGAGCGGCCGCGGCGGGGCTCCGGGCCGCACCGGGAGCTGGGGCGTTCGCGCTCCGCTCGTCGGCGCCTGCGGCGGCGGCGTGCAGCCGGGCAGGGCAAGAACGAACAAGGGAGCGCGGCGCGGAAGACCGGCAGGGGAGGAGGGGGAGACGGTCTGCGCGGAGAAGAGGCCTCCCGCCGTCGGCGACGAAGCGGACCCCCTCCCCGCGGCCACGGCGCCCGGTCACGCTGCGGGGAGGGCCGGCGGGCACACGGGGAGCACCCCGCGAGCTCAGGACTCCCGCGCCGGATGTGAGGTCACGTGATTGCCTCATCCCCAGCGCCGAACGCGGAGGGGCCGTCGGGGGCGGGGCGACCCTCCGGCCCCGCCCACCTCGCAATCGGGCCCCCAGCCTGCCTAAACGAGAGTAGCTAGCGGGAGGCACTCGGGAAGAGCGCTTTGCGGGCATGCTACTCCGGGCTTGTTCTGCGAGGGTCTATGAACTGTGTGTGTCTTGCCAGGCACAGAGGAGGTCATAGTCCAAACCCCTATTTTAGGAACAAAGAAACTGAGACCTAGAGTGCTGACTTGCCTAAGGTGACGACAGTAAAGAGAGGACTCCTGTGCTAACTAGGTGAAGAGAGAAGTCCTAGCTCCAGGGCCACATTCTTTCCCTCCTTTACCCCCCCCCCCCACACACACACACCAAAAAGAACACTTTAATTCCAATGGAACTCCTGGCCCAGCTCGCGGGCGTGGGGCAGAAAACAGTCAGGTGGGCAAGAGAAAGCTTCCACACCCGAGACCGCCTGAGCCTCAGGGAGGAGTTTTCCGACAGTGCTAGATGCAAATTAAATACTTCCCTCCACTGGAGACTTATCTCGGGGCACTACCCCGCCCGGATATTCAAATCGCGGGTTTGGGTTTTCATTGCCTTCCGCTCTGCTCCGCGCGGCGCCAAGCGCGGGTAGCTGAGCTTGCCACCTGCTGCCTCCAACTCCGCCATCTTTTCGCCCTGAGTCCACCTCACCTGCGTACCAGACGCCTGGTCATCACCTGTTATTGTTCTCCCCTTCCTGCAAACATAACTCTTAGCTGCTTGACGGTCTTGAGGACGGAACAGCTGACCTCAACCCTGTTCCCCATACTTAGGCTTAGTCAGCCAGGGGCAAGGAGCTTCCAGCCTAGTCACCTCTTAGAACTCTTGGTCCAGAGCACAGAATGGAACCTCGTTTGGGTCAGCACAGTGTTTCAGAACCATGGCACTAACACACTTCATTTAGGAGCTAAAAGGATGCTGCCCACCCGCAACAGTGGGGTCCTGGATGGTGACCAGGAAATTTCTTGCCAGATGATTTGGCCCTCACACTAAACCAAGATAAGCCACAGCTGTGTATTCCCAGCTTGCCACTAAATTTCAAACTTGAGTGTGTGTTTCTTGTACTCGAGTAAGAACGTGGCATAAGGATTAGGGTAGCCTGGGTAGGGTCAAGCATACTCCTTCCCCACACATACTCCTTCCAGTTCCCTTCGCTCCAGGTTAGTTACCTCCCAGATTTTAAACGAGCTCAAGTCTCTCCAGGCCCTACAAATGTCAAGGCAACCATCCACTTATAGAGTGCCCTCTTCAGTTAGCTGCCAAGTGTTTCTGGCCCATTCACGCACACATTTTGAACAGTACTCCCCCCTCTGCCTCATTCCTCAACTCTTGGCAAACTGACCACACGGGGGACGGGAGGGAGAGAGACCCATCACCCGCCATTGGGGGCAGAAATGCTTCTTCCTCTGTACCACCTCTCTGCACCCCTGGGTGTTCTCACCTTCTACTCCCTCAGTTTGTGGAAACTGCTCTCCCAGTTCTCAAGTCTCAGTACCTAAGACCTCTGCCCTCTTCAGTGGCATTCTTAAGTGCCACCAGTTGTGAAGCAGCACCTGAAATGCATGGCAGCCCTCAGCTGCACTCACTTCGCCTCACTTGCTCCGGAGAATCATCTCCACCTCTGCTGTCAACTCCCAAAGCAGCCAGAGTGTGCTCTTGCTCTCTCTTTCTCTCTCTCTCTCTCTCTCTCTCTCTCTCTCTCTCACACACACACACACACACACACACACACATTTGCTTTTGTTTTTCAAGACAGGGTTTCTCTGTGTGTAGATCTGGCTGTCCTGGAACTTGCTCTGTAGACCAGGCTGGCCTCAAACACACAGAGATCAGCTGTTTCTGCCTTCCAAGTACTGGGATTAAAGGAATGTGCCACCACCACTGGGTCAGACCTCTTCAAGAAAGAAAGAAGAAAGAAAGAAAGAAAGAAAGAAGCAGAGATTCAAATATCCAACTACCTCCACGCATCTCTAGAGCTCAAAGAGAAATACCAATGGTGTGTCTAAAACTGGACTTGTCCTCTGCCTTTATACCTGCCCCTTTCAAAGCTATTAGCACCACCACCACACAGCTGTCTGAATTAGAAAGTTAGGAATGAATGAGTCACCCCTGACGAATCGCTAAGCCCTATCTAGTTCTCCTCAAGTTCCTACCTCCATTCCACTGGCACCCATCATCTCTGAGCTATGCCGCTTGGCAGCCTCCCACCAGCCTTCTTCAGACAAGCCCATCCTCCATCCTGCCTAAAGTGCACACCTACTTAAGAAGGTCAATGCACTCAGGCTTTTATTTTTATTACACTTATTTGTTGGGGGGGGGCACATCATGGCACAAGGGTGGGTGTCAGAGAACAACGTTTTGGAGTTGGTTCTCTGGTCACAGGGTCACAGGGATGGAACTCAATGGGACAAGCCTGGCAGTCCCTATACCATCTATCTTACAGTCCAGAACTTGGGCTTTTAAGAGACTCTAAGAGCCCACACCTGGTGATACATGCATGTAAAATCAGCAACTTGGAGGTGGAAGCATGGTGAGTTTGTAGCCAGCTTGGACTATACGAGACCCTGTCTCAAAACAACAAAATAAACCAACAACCCCAAAAAGCCCAGACTTCAAGATGAAGCCAAATTTCTCAAACTAAGGCAGCTCACATGGGGCAAGGGAACTCCTGGAAGAAATAAAGCAGTTAAATATCTCAAGAAGTTCTTTGCTACAGATGTTTTGAGTATGGGGAGAAGAGAATCTGAGCACTGGCTTGGGGAGGAGATGTAGAGTCGGGCTGAGGGAAGACACGGAGAAGAGAGTCCCCTACCAGGACCGAAAGATTTTAAGAGCTGCTCTTAAAACCTTTGGAAGCTAGAGCGATACACAGCCTATCACATTTCTGGGCCGCAGACTTCTGTCATGCTAGACCCAGGCTTTCCTTTCTCTGATCACTATTTAAGGCCCCACCCAAGCTAAGTATGTTGGTCCACACCTAAAATTGAAGCTTTTAGGGGATGAGTCAGAAGGCTCCCGTGAGTGCTGGAGTTCAAGGCCAGCCAGAGTAATGTACAGAGACTGCACCTCCAAAAGAAGAAAAGGAAACAGCAACAAAATACTCAACCAAGGACCACAAACACAGATAATAGTCCTCCCGTCACATCTGACCACTCTTGCCACGAAAAGTTTCCCATTGTCAAAATCCATCTTCACTTTTTCTCAAACCCCAACCCCTCCCATCACTTAACCTCTTGTGTCACCAAAACTGCAAAACATCTATAGATACTCATGCTCATCCCCTTCCCCAGATCCACACGTCACCCCAATATTCCATCTAGTTCTTTTTTCTCATTCTAAAGACACAAAGGCTCCTCCTGATAGAGCTCTCTCTATAAGTGATTCTCAACCTTCCTAAAGCTGCAACCCTTTAATACCTCATGTTGTGGTGGCCCCCAACCATAAAATTATTTTTGTTGTTATTTCATAACTTTGCTACTGCTATGAGTCATAATATAAATATTTTTGGAGGTAGAGGTTTGCCAAAGGGGTTGCAGCGCTCAGGTTGAGAACCACTGCTCTATTTAAGTTCAGGGTCAGTCCCCAAGGAAGTCACCACTGTTCTCAATGCCAGGGGACTCTTTGTGTTTCTAGAGTTATTAGTGTATAAATATATTACTATTAATACACACACAAACACCTGACAGAATTCATCACCCCATCTTTCATTTTTATTCACTTTTTTATTTTATATGTTTTGCCTGCATGTATGTCTGTGTACCACATGTCTGACTGTTGCCCTTGGAGACCAGAAGAGGGTGTCATCTCCTGGAACTGGAGTTACAGACAGGCGTGAGCTGCTATGTAAGTGATGAGAATTGAACCTGGATCCTCTGGAAGACAGCCAGTTCTCTCCAGCCCATTATTTATTTTTGAGATGGAGTCTCTGTCACCCTGGCTGGCCTGGAACCCACTATGTTGGCCAGAATGGCTTGAAATTTGTGCAGTCCTCCAGGTAGCACTGAGATTCCAGGCATGTTTGCTTATGTAGTCTTGGAATTCTTCCTCTTTGTTACCCCTTTCCTGTGTCTGTCTGTCTGTCTGTCTGTCTGTCTCTCTGTCTCTCTCTCTTTCTCAGAGCCAAAGACGACAGCACCTCTGATGTACATAGTAGCATATTCTTTCCAGGTAACCTTGTCTACCGTGGCTATAGCTATCATGGGCATGTACGTTAATAACTCTCAATGGTGTCCCCACAGCCTTCTTCAGACAATATATACCTCTCTCCCTACCTTTGTTACTGTTGTTTCTTTTATTTTCAGATTTATTTTTAATTATATTGTGGGGGAGTGGTACATATAAAAGCCCAAGTCTGTGAAAGCCAGAGGCACTTACAGGTGCTTGTGAGCTACCCAGTGTAGGTGCTGAGAATTGAACTTGAGTCCTCCAGAAGAGCAGCAAGTGCTCTCAACCAGTGTGTTAGCTCTCCAGCCCTATTGTTTCCTTCTTTTGCTATGTGTTTGTGTTTTATTTTGTTTTTTCATTTTGAGACAAGGTTTCTTTGTATAGCTCTGTTTGTCCTAGAATTCACTATGTAGACCAGTCTAGCAAGAATTCAGAGATCAGTGTGGTTTTGCCTCTGCTTCTGGAGGGCTTAGACTAAGTATGTAGGCCACCACACAGGGGCATGTCTCTTAAATATACCCTTTTTTGTTTGATTGTTTAATGAGAGGGTCTCTAGTTTCCCAGGCTGTCCTTGAATTTGTTATGTAGATAAAGAGGACTTTGAACTTCTGATCCTCCTGCCTCCACTCACTGAGAGGAGGGCATTGACAAGTATGGGTTTATGAAATGCTTGAGACAAAACCCAGGGCTTTGTGAATGCTACACACAGTTTCCCAACCCAGCTGCTTTCTTTTTTTTTTTTTTTTTTTTTTTG